AAGCCAAAGGCAGAAACAAAGAAATTTTTAAAATCACTCAACAAACTAGGAGTAAGAAGCAACTTTCTGAACATAATAGTAATATATACTGAAGCCCTAATACACGCCCCCACACACACACCAGCTAATATCATACTCAACAGGGCCGGGTGTGGTGGCACATGCCTGTAATCACAGCACTCGGGAGGCTGAGGCAGGAGGATTGCTGTGAGTTCAAGACCAGCCTGGGATACATAGTGAGTTCCAGGTCAGTCTCAACTATGTAGTGAGACCCTGCCTCAAAAAACAAAACAAAACAAAACAGAACAAAAACCAAACATACTCAACAGGGATTTTCCTCAAGATCAGGAACAAAGAAAGGGTGCCCATTTTTGTTACTCTAGTCAACATAGTACTAGAAGGCCTAGCAAGAGAAATTAGACCAAGAAAAAGAAAGAGGTATGTATACAAACTGATAAGGAAGATATAAAACTATTTGCATGTTGAATGATCTTATATCCAAAAAGTCCCTATGTCTGCAAAGGTATTCTTCTAACAAACAAAATGAGCAAAATTGAAGGATACAATATTAGCACAAGAAAATTATCTTTCATTTTTTCCTTCTGCCTCTCTCTCTCTCTCTCTCTCTCTCTCTTTCACACTTCTTAAGACTGTTCATAAAAAAACAGAAAATAAATATTGAGAAGAGTGTGTAGACATGGGAACAATAATGCATTGCTAGTGAGGATTTAAAATGCTGCTGTTCTGGAAACAGTTTGAGAGCTCTTCACAAAGTTGAACATAGAGTAACCATGTGACTTAGCAAGTCCATTCCTTTGAATCAGAGACTCAACCAGATACCTGTTCACCAAGATCCGCAGTAGAACCACTCAAAGCCAAAATGAGGAAACAGCCCATTGCTACATTCTCTGCCAGGATACTTGGACCAATGGCTTCCATGACTTCTTCCTTTCCTGGGACCTCTCATTAATCTCTGCATAATACTACTATTCCAACCCTCTCTGTTCTGTTGTCTTCAAATTTTCTTACAGGAATGCATGAGAGCATTTACCAACCAGATAATCATAGAACTTGTCATGGCGGGTTACTGCCCACAGAAGCAGAGGGAAGAAGACCCCACCTACTGCTGCCTCCATCAAATCCAGGTTTAACCCCAACCTTCACCCCTTTGTCAGCTTGAAGCAGCTCCAGAACCATAAAACAAAAGCCTGGAATGTTAGACTTCTCTTGCCATAAGATGGCTGCTACATAAAATAGCAATCTCGTCCTTACCAAATGCTCTGCACCTTAAAATGGCTGCCACATGGAATAGCAGCCTCTTTTCCATAACGCAATGTGAAAATATGGCTTTTCCCACCAAAGGACAGTCTTCTTCTTCCCAACATGCCCCTCTTCCCACCAAGAAAGGTAACCTGATACTTGCTACCTCCTAGCAACTAACCATGTCACAAGCCCCTCCTAGTGATGTCACAGGATCCTCCAATCCCTTAATTCTACCTCACTCAACTCCACCCCAGTTTATGCTAATTCCATCCCCTACTACAAAAGAAACTCCCTGTTCTGCCATGTTGCTTTTCTCGGCTTTGTTGGGAGACAGCCTGGCAGATCCTTCCCATGATAAAGGCTGGTTATGGTCCTGGTCTGGTCCTAGTTTTCAGCTCTTTTTACCTAACAGTCTCCATCAACAGATGATGGATAAACAAAAACAACATGAAGTATTATTCAGCCATAAAAAAGAATAAAGTATCAATACAAGTGACAACATGGAGGAACCTTGAAAATTATTCTATGGTAACTGAAATAAATGAAACCTAAGAACACATGCTGTGTGGTTTTACTTATATTAAATATATAGAATGCGCAAATGCAAAGAGATAGGAACTAGATAAGCTGTGACCAGGTGTGGGGTAAGAGGTTGGAAAGTTGCACGCTGGGTATAGAGTTTCTGTTTGAGTGTTGACAAAGTTTGGAAAAGGGTAAGAGACAATTTATAACATTCTGAATGTAACTAATGTCACAGAGTTGAAACTTGAAATGATTAAATGGTAAATTTGATATATTTATATATCCACAGAAAGAAAACAGGGAAGAAAGACAGCTGAAGTCCCAGAAAATGTGGGGCTGGGTTGTGGAGGAGGAGCTCGCCTTCCTAGGAAAGGAAAAATGTTCTACAAAGATCAGAGGTTGGGGACAGAAGGGAGAAGTGAAAAAGCTCTGAGAGCCCCACAGTGTGGTCTTTCCAGCAGCCCACTCGAAGAGTTTGAGAGAAGCTCTGCAGCTGCTGGGTATTGCCCAGTGGGGGCACAAACTAGACTGGAGTGAGGAGTAAGGACTGGGCGGGGCTCAGCAGAGGGGCTGAGCAGAGGGGCTGGAAGGGAAGTTTGCTATTTGGCCAGGTCTACTGCCAAGACCACGCAACATTTTAAGCCTGCCACACCACACTGCTATGCATTAAATTGTGTTCTTTCTGCTGTGTGTTGAAGCCCTAAGTCCCCAGTGGCTATATGTGGAGATAAGGCTTTTAGGAAGTAACTAGAGCTCAGCGAGGTCATAAAGTGGGGGTGAGATCCTAATCTGATAGAAGTAGTGCCTTCCTAAGAAGAGACAGTTTGCTGTTGGCCCCTCCCTTCAAGCTACCAAGTGGGGCAAGGAGAAGGTGAAGGTTGACAAAGCCAGGAGGAGAACCTCAGCAGAAGCCAACCCCAACAGGTCTTGATGAGGGATAAGCCCCCAGACTGTGAGAAAGTTACACCCTCTTTAAGCCACCAAAGCTGTGGCATGTTACTAGGGCAGCCTATGATGAACTATTAACAACAGAAACTTCTCAGTCAACTGTTCTCTCCAAGAAAGCAACTTCATCTGCCAGTGGAAACCTTCCCATCTATCTTTGTCACTTTCTCATTGCTGAGACACCCAAAGTTAAAGGAAGAAAGGTTTATTTATTTATTTATTTATTTATTTATTTTGTTTGGGTTTTTTTGAGACAGGGTCTCACTATGTAGTTGAGTCTGACCTGCAACTCACTATGTAGCCCAGGTTAGTCTTGAACTCATAGTGATCCTCTTGTCTCAGCCTCCTGAGTGCTGGGACTACAGGCTTGCGCCACCACGAAAGGTTTATCTAGCTCACAGTTTGTATAGGTTTCAGTCCATAATTGGCTCCAAGGCAGGGTGGATAAGGCACCGCAGAGGAAAGCCAGTTCATGGCAGGCAGAAGGTAACAAAGCAACAGGGGCAACCACAGCTCTTTTTGTCTCTTATATCTATCTTATCCGGCTACTTAGGGTGAATAGCACTCACACCGTTAATCCTGGTGACCTTGATTCTAGCATTGGACAGTGAATCAAATCCAGCATCACACACTCTAGATCCAGCCACCTCTGAAAAAGCTCCACCCAAGAAATGAGGCTTTAGGGGAACATCTAGACACAAGTCACGGCACCATCCTTCAAACTCGAATGTCTCCTTTTCCGAATGATTTCTGTATCCTCTGGACTCCAACAGCATTTTACCCAGGAAATCCTTGAAGGAGCCATACCGCCACCATCCTAGACTGAGCAGAGGCCACTTTAAGCTTCTTCCATCCCATATACTTTTACACCTGCTAAGATGTATAATCATGGGTTAATAAGGCCCAGTAATGGTGGCTACACCCCATAACTCCCATCACATTCTTCAGCCCTCCTCCTGACAGACAACCACCCGTTTCTCAACCCTTATCTCTAGCAGATAGCCAAAGCTCTGGTTTATTCACCTTCTCCCTTCACAGCCCCATTTTGACCTTCTCCTTTCATAACCCCCTTTATGCTCATGACTCTATAAAATATCTTATAGCCTGCATGAGAGTCTCGTCTAGGTACCAGGGAGGTCCCTCTCGGAAGTCCCTGTTCTGAAATAAACCTGTCCTGTTGGGCTCCTACTTTTGTTTTTCCTAACAGTCCTTAGTTGGGTTCTATCATAGAGCTCATCAAGGCCTAGTCTCAGGCTCTCTTTCACTCTGAAAGCTCTGTCCCAGTCCCTGGCTCATCTCCAACTCCAGCTCAGACTTTTTCTGTGAACTGTAGGCCTGACTCAGTGCCTACACCTGGGTAGCTGAAGGCACACGAAGTTTACTGTGTCAACCTGTTCCTCCCAGTTGTGTTCCTTCCTTGGTGTTTGTGATTTAACAGGGAACACCTTCATTCATCAACATCATGTCCAGCCACAGGCAGATGCATCTCAGTGACTCCCTTGTTACCCTGGCCTATGGTGCCCATCTCTCAGGGGGTACCATGGCCTTTAGATTGAGCCATTATCCCTTTGTTAGGATCTTAAATGTCCCTCAAGTGCTCATAAGGTGAAGGCCTGGTCTCCAGAGCAGCAGTCTCTGGAAGCAGAGCCGTTGGGGATGCCTGGATTAGGAGGGTGCCAACCCTGGCAGTGGATGTCAGTGCTGCAGGAAGTGTTCCTGCCTCTCTTTGTCACTTAGTTTCAGGTCATTCTCTAAAGCTGTGTTCAAGTCTATTTTCCCCTAATGAGTGTTGTCCGACCCATCCCCAGCCTCCACCTACTGAGCCAGTGCTGCTGGGAGCGGGTTCCCAGACACCCTCTATTTAAATGTCAGAAGCTGGCACATTGACCTTCAGTGGCTGGCAAGGAGATTGTGCATGGATGTTCAGCAGCGAGCATGAGGCTCTACAACAGCCTCCTTCGAGCAGGAATGATCAAGGTATAGAGCCCCTTACAGCCACTTTCCAGCTATCCGGCTTAGGGAGTCTTTTGTCTTCTTGGCCCACACTTCAAGGCCCCCAGCTCAGGAAGCAAGCCCAGGTATTTTTTTATAAGGGGGTAATCTGAACCGCCCGACAAGCGGGGGCCCACAGCTCTGTAGTTCCCAGCTGTGCAAGCCACGGAAAGGTGCTAACCTCCCCGGGGAAGACTTCCTGGAAGTGGCCTTAGAGTGGGATTTGAGGGAGAAAGTCCAGGCCGAGGGCGCGGCCTGCACTCAGCGGGGCGGCCCACCTTGCAGGCCCTCCAGGCGGAAGGTGCGGTGCTCGACCGCCAGGCCCACTGCGCTGTAGGGTCCATAACGCAGGATGACTTCTGCTTTCACAGGCATGGCGCCACCTGCCAGACAGCAAGCAGCCTGGGAGACCAAGAGACGCCCGCCGCTGCTAGGTAACCGCCCACGGGCTGGAGCGCAGCCAATGCTAGGCCAGGGCACGGCAGGGCTGAGCCAATGTGGAGAGCAGGACGGGGCCTAGGCGGGGCTGGCACCCCTTTTTTGCCCAGTCCAGCATCAGACTTGCTATCTAGACCTCAGGGCTAGATAAACGGTAAACTAAGGGTACTTCGACCAGGCACAGCACGTGTTCGTGATACTTAACAATAGACATTTACGGGCCAGTTAAAGGAAGCGTGGCGCGGGGGAGTGCTAAGCACTTTCCAAAGTCTTCTCATTTAATCATTATCGTTTAATCGCCATCCCTTCTGAATTAAGTCACAGCTTGTATTTGTATTTAGAAAAGAGAGCACAGTCTGAGAGGCCAAGAAGCCCTCCCAAGCCAGGCGGGTGTCCTGTGGGAGGGAAACCCTCCCGTATCCTCTACTTTCCTAATGTTTTTTGGATTGGTTCAGTACAAGCTGAGCTCATTTGCATGCCCCCCTCTGTCTGAAAGCTGTTTCTGTTCTCTTACTAGTTTGTCTGCTTGAGCCCTCCGTCCTTGGGACTGCGGACCTGAAGAACACCTGGCTCTTACAGCCCTGGCGGACACATCGGCTGCTCGGTCCTCACTGCCCCCACGCAGAGAATCAGCAGGGGAGGAGGGGCTCCGGAGGGCTGCGCAGAATAGACCCCACGGATCTGCGGCAGGAGCGAGATTATTCTGCAACCTCTGAGAGTTTAGGGTTGTTTATTACAGCATTTATGCAAACCTAATAATTACATCCTGCGAGTGTCACACACATCTTTGATTTCTGAACATCAGTGGTAGTTAATATTTTGTCCTTCTTTTGAGCAGTGCAAGGATTTAAAATCCCCTTTCCTAATTCTTCTCCCAACATATGCTATCGTTGTGTATTTTAATTATCTCCATGCGTACAATCTGTTACTACAGTAACACATATTTCACTGGTGAGAATTAGGTTATACATGACTGGTAAATAGAGAAACGATGCCAGAAGAATTCTGGCTGTTTGGAACTCATGAATAGTTTCTCAGAGCACCTTGTTCTGTAACTGCACTCACCGACACCAGGTCCCTGCACGCGGTGGAGGGCCGTGGAACCTACTGTGTCATTGCTCTCCACCTGACTCCTTATGGTCACATACCCTGTCTTGGAGGGACCTGTAGTCTGGTTCTCCCTAAATTTTTTTCTTTTTCTTTTTCTTTTTTTTGGTGCCGGGGATCAAACTCGGGTCCTTCTGCTTGCAAGGCAGATGACAAAACCACTGAGCTAAATCCCTGGGCCCCTTTTGTTCACCTTTTAAGAGGCAAAATTCTCTATTTACTGTAGTACCCTTATCAGAAATTTAATTTTGTTGCATTAATTTTTTTTTCCCAGTACTGGGGATTGAACCCAGGGCGTTCACTGCACTGTATCCCAGCCATTAAAAAAAAAAAATTCATTTTAGCTGGGTGTGGTGGTACATGCCTGTAATGCCAGCACTCGGGAGGCTGAGGCAGGAGGATCACTGTGAGTTTGAGACAAGCCTGGGCTACATAGTGAGTTCCAGTTCAGTCTCAACTATATAGTGAGACCCTGTCTCAAAAAAACGAAAAAAAAAAATAAACACCCCAAAAACAAAAAAACAAAACTTGTTAAAATGAAATAAATTAACTTTAAAAAAATAAAAATAAACACAAATTTTTAAAATTTTGGGAGAGGGTCTTAGCCATTAATTTGCTCTGGCTCAGCTCAAATTTATTTATTTGTTTGTTTGTTTGTTGATACTGGGGATCAAACTCAAGACCTTACACTGGCCAGACAGGCACAGCACCACTGAGCTACATGCCCAGCCCTAGGTTCAAATTTACATCCCTCCAGCCTCAGCCTCCCAGAAGGGTAGGCCCTGTTCAGTTTGCTAAAATATTCATAAAGTTTGTTGTTATTGTTCTGTTTTCATGTTTGTTTCTTGCTTTCTATAGTTTCACTATAAGGTACCAATGTACAAGTCTCTTTATTTATCCTTTTTGTGATTTGCTGAAATTCTGGAAACTGAATTAAGCTCCCTCATCATGTTTTGGAAAAGCTTGACATTACTTATTCACATATTACTTCTGTTCCATTTTCACACTTCAAGGACTCTAATGTATGTGAGACCTTCTCACTGTATTCTTTTATTTTTACTTTTATTTTTATTTTTTTGAGAAAGGGTCTTGCTGTGTCATGCAGGCTGTCATCCTCCTGCCTCAGCCTCCAGAATTCTGGGATTACAGCCACCATGCCTAGCTCACTGTATTTTTTTCCTTAAATTTATTGGTACATTTTAGGTATACAGTAGAGTTGCATTCATCATTGGGGTCTTGTACCTTTACGTAATTTATCTTGGTTCTTATTTTTTCTCCATTTCCCTGCCATCCCTTCACCCCCTCCTCCCTTCCCTATTTACAAATACTTTATTTCTATTTTTTCATTTTCACATATTTTTTTTCTTTTCCCTACTTTCCTTTCCCCTACCCTTCCCACTTCCCCTACACTTTTAGCCCTTTTCTTCCTATTTCACATTATCAATTATACTATTTGAAACTTATTTACAGTTTTAGTTTTTCACATCAAAGAAACTTTGGTATTTACACAAGTGTGTCCTATTTATTTCATTTCAGAGTATGGCCTCAATTTAGCTATAAATGTTTCCAGTTTCTCATTCTTTATGGCTGAGTAGTAACTCCATTTTATTAAAAAAAAAACCCACATCTTATCCAGTCTGCTCACTGTATTCTTTATGCCTATTCTGTAGTTTTCTTTCTCTTTCCCATTTTCCTACAAATGTCTTTATCCTTCTTTATCACTGAGTAATGTTCCATTATGTATAGATACCATATTTTCTTTATCCACTTGTCTGTTGATGGGCAAATATATAGGCTCCTTCCAAGAGTTCTATTATGAATTGTGCTGATATAAACATTGGTATGCATGTATATAATATAATGTCTTTAACTCTTTTGGGAAGATACTTAGAGGGCAAGTAGCTAGGTTGAAAGGAATTTTTATTTTTAATTCTTTGAGAAATCTCCACACTGATCTCCAAAGCAGTTGTACTAGTTTACATTCCCCCTGCAATGATGTAGAAAGGTTTCTTTTTTCACTGTAGCCTCACCAGCATTTGTTATTATTTGGTTTCTTGATACTAGCCATTTTTTCTAAGTAAAATGGAATCTCAGTGTAGTTTTAATTTGCATTTCTCAAACAGCCATGGAAGTTGAACATTTTTTTCATGTATTTATTGACCATTTTTATTTCTACTTCTGAGAAACGGCTATTCATTTCAGCTGCCCACTTTTTGGTTGGGTCTTTTATTTTGGAGGAGTCTGATTTTTTTTAGCTCCTTATATATTCTAGATATCGTTCCTCTGTCTGAGGTGTGGCTGGTAAAAACTTTCCCCTTCTGTAGGTTGTCTCTTCATTCTACTGGATGTTTCCTTTGCTGTGCAGAAGCCTTTTAATTTGATATACTGTTTGTTGCCTCTTGGTGTTATTTCTCGTGCAGTTGGAGTTATGTTCAGAAAGGTTTTGCCTACACCTATGACTTCAAGAGTTTTATCTATTTGGTATTCCATTGATTCTGTTTTAGTGTTTCAATCTTTGATTTCAGTTTAGTACATGGTGAAAGATATGGATATAGCTTAAATCTTCTGCAGGTGGACAGTTTTCCCTGTGCCATTTGTTAAAGAGGCTTTCTCAGATGCATGCCTTCGGCCCCTTTGTCAAAGATCAGGTGGTTGGATGTGTTGGGGTTGTTTCTGCATCCTCTATTCTGTCTCATTGGTCCACATTTCTGGTTTGGTACTGATACACACTGTTTTTGACACTGTAAATTTGTACATAACTTTATGCCTTCTGTTTTGCTCATTTTGCCTTTTGCTCTTCTGATTTCACGTGAACTTCAGGATTGTTTCCTCTAATTCTGTGAAGAATGCTATAGGTATTTTGATTGGGATTACACTAAATCTGCATATCAGTTTTGGAGATACAGTCAGAAATGAAAGATATTATGATTATATTGATTTTGACTATATCGATCCTTCCTATCCAGGAACAAGGGATATCTTTCCATTTTCTGATACCCTCTTCAATCTCTTTTTCTCCTATGTCCATATTTTAAAGGAAAGGAAGCAGTTCCAACATTTTCCCCTTTATGATAAAGTTGGGCTCAGAGTGTAGTTCAGTAGTAGAGAACTTGCTCAGCATGAGGGAGGCCAAGGCTTAATCCTCAGCACCTTCACTCCCCGAGAAAGGATGATGTATGTTATAGAATTGTGGTAGAGGTTCTTTTCAAGCTAAGTGATCTTTTTCCTAATTTCATTTTACTATGAGTTTTTAACATTAGGTTGTAGATGACTTGTGAATTTTATTGAATTCATATTAATGATTAGAATGATCCTATTATGTTTTTAGTAAGTTACTAATGAGTAAATGACACTTAGCTGTTTTCCAATATTAAGCTACCTAACTTGGTGGTTCTTGATGTGTTGATCTTTATTCTTTTCTTTTCTTTCTTTTTTTTTTTTTTTTTTTTTTTCCAGGGTTTTAA